GGAAAAATTTTGAACCAATTTGGACGTGTTTTGCATAACTTTTATTATGCAACTTCTATAATTCAAATTTTTGAGCCACCGATCTACATATAAATTGACATGCGATTCCCCCTACCCTTAAATAACATGGCATATCAAATGTTAAATAGTCTCCTGATGATTCGACCATGCCTATTTCATTTCTAGAAGAACAAAACAACCCATCAACTTTCATTCCCAGAGGTTTATCATCAGTTGGTTTTAGATCTCGTCTTAAAAAATGCTGATTTGCACTTGCTGTGAGGCAAATTTCACCACTATATTTAAAAAGAAAACTTGTGTTTTTAATTCTGTAAAGAAAAGCAAATGAAGATTAAACACCAGTTTGGTATTAAAACTGAAAAACATACGGGACATAATAAGGTTGACTATTTGTTGCATTAACAAGGTATTGTAACACAGGATGGGCCATCAGTGATCCAAGGATAGCTTCACTCTTATATGAACTGTGAAATGTAGATTGAGAAGGAAAAACATTTGTTGAACTTTAAAAATAAAAGTAAATTAGTAAAACTATATGTTACTATAAATAAATAATACTATTTTGGAAGAATCAATGATACTTGCAACCACTTGAGAACATTAATCACAAAAACCATTTGTTTATTATTACAATCAAATTGCACATTATCTAGACATTGTTGATAATCCAAGAATGTGTCCTGTTTTTAATTAATAAATGTAAATAACATTTTCCATTGAAAATAAAAGACTAATAATCAGCCTAATTGTTAATACTCACAGCCTTTAACTTTTTAAATAACTAGAGTGATGAGTGGTAGCAATAACCACCACCACCATTCTTACAATAGACAACACTTTTACCCATTTCTTTCTTTTTCAATCAATTCATCTACTTTTTTTCTTCTTATTTTTTTGATGTTACTGATGACATTTTTTTTAATATTAATATTAATGAAAAAAAAGAATTTATCATTTGATTGATCAACAATGCATCTAATTATTTATGGGACCCCTGTTTTTTTTGTTAACACGATCAATTTTTTTTTTTTGGAAAAACAATTTATTTTTTGACAGATGACAAAACGTGAATGTTGTTATTCAATATGGTTTGGTTCTAAAGATGTGTTAATAACTAACCAGAGGTAACTTTTTTTAATTTGCATTGAAATGTCTTTAAATCAAAACATGGAGCAGATCTCACTGGGTAATTATAACATTCTCATCAAGATGTAAACAATTGGTATTTTGCTTTTCATAATCAATGTTAATAATAACATTAATATTATTATAATTACAAGATGCCAAGGCAGCATACCTGACTTTCAGAAGAAACATTTGATATGAACATTTGTTTATCAGAAATTTACAGACATTGAAGCATGCATGCTACCTTGAGCACATTACAGCCATTCTCTTATGTTCCTCATGTACACAAGGCTAATCTGACTGCAAGGTCCCTGATGATACAATGATGCTAGAGAATTCCAGGGAGGGGTGTAAGGCCCTGGAATTTACTGAGATTGCATCAATTGTCAATGACACCTTTGATAATCTTCCCTCACAGCACCAGGCCAGAGAAGGCTGACAAGTTAGCCGAAAAGTCACCTGCAACAATCCTACCTCTAAATATGGCTCTGTTACCAAGAAGTTGCAACTCTGGAGGAATATTAAAAGAATCAGACATGGAAGAGGAATGGATAATTGAGCATGAGAAGCAATTGATGGAAAGGGAATGTTTGGCAGTTGTAAAAAATTTTGAAAGAGATAATGAAAAGCTTACAGAAGAAGGAAAGTCACCTAAACCCAATGAGCATCTTAAACAATTATTAAAAAACATTGATGAAAAAGAGAAGGTGTTGAAGTATGAACAAAAATCTGGAAAGGTCAATCCAAGAAAAGGACAAACAAGTGAAAAACTCTGGATCCAAATAGAAAATTTGACAGAATGTATCAAAATCACCAAATTGTTGAAGCAAGATAAAGAAGACAATAAAACAATTGCATTGGGTACATCAAAATTCATTACATAGACCCACGTATTTCATATGATGTACCAATTGCTAAGATTTTTAACAAAAGTCTTCATGAAAAATTCCAATGGGCATTAGACATGGATGCAGATCGGGTGAGTATTCTTTTTTAATTAATTTGATTTTATAACAACATATTTAAATTATTTTTACTATTTTATAGGAGTTTTAGCCATTGGGTAGTGATCTTTCATTTGGCTATTTTTATTTAAAAATTGTGAATAAATAAGTGTTTTTTTTATCATCATTTATGATTTTCAATATTTATTTTTAGTGGAGCTAGCATGGCTAAACATGACCTGAAATATGGGCAAATTTTTATTAACAATTTTTTTGCAAGTTGCATGGGAGAAACATGTTGGCCCCAAGACCAACCCCAAAAGGCATTAACAGTTCCTATTCTTTGGCTCACTATTATTGCTTAATTTTATTATTACTACTATTACAAATTGATATAAAAAAAAATAAAACTAATCTAATTCTGGTGTTTCCATTTATATGGCTTAACCCTATATGAGAAAAAAATACACAATTAATATGGTACATCAAAATAACTAAAATTCCATATATGAATTTATATGCTTATTGGCTAATGCTTTATTAATTATTTATAAAATTGCATCTTGATGTAAAATGGGTACCATTGCACAACCTTTATTTCAAGATGCACAGCTTACCCAACATTGAAGAACACATTGTTACATTACAATGTACATCTTGATTTTTTATATTTAATTTTAACATTTCACATTGAATTTTATTGTATTAAAAATTAATAAAAATAATATATAAATTCAATTTGAAAAAAATTATAATTATATAATACGAACAAAGTTGGAAAATTTCTACAAATAAATGGCACAACAACCTCAAATAATTATTCTTTCATAACATGACAACTCGATCAATCAATTAATCTACCAGCTAAAAAATTAATCTATACTGTATATATAAATAAATAATTCTAATAATCAAATGTTTAACCAGCATCAATATTATTATTGTTTATATTTGATTTTCCATCACCATTCACCAAAATTATTATACCATTATCGATGAAGACATTTTGAACTGTTTGATCCAATCATATTTGGCCAAAAACACCAACACTATTACTACTACTATTTAAACTATTATTATTCATTATTTTCAAATGATCATCATCATCACCCGATTTCTCTCTTAATAATCTAACAATCTCACGAAATTGTTTCTCTCTATCACAATCTCTTCCCCACATACGTCCAAGGTTCATCTCAGCGTCATCAATAGGTTTTCTTCCCCACCGATCTTTTGTTTCTATGTTTAACTCGGGCAATAGTAAAAGATATTGAACAGTGTCCAAACTCCCTTCTGCTACTGCATGATGTAATGCTGTACGACGATCAAATCCCGTTCTGTTAATTTCCATTCCAGAATCCACAAAATGTCTTAATAATTCAACGTCATTTTTTGATGCAGCACTTTTAATACAAAATATAGACAGACATAATTAAAATATTTAGCATAATAATTGTTATTAAAAAAAAACAGATTATATAAAGTTTTTATTACTTACGATAGTGCTTGAAACATCACATCATCAATCTCAGCATCATTAAAATGCGCACCAGCTTCACGTAATAATTTGATTATATGCTTATTTTTGTTTCTTGCTGCTTCAAATAGAGGTGTATGGCCAAATCTATCTCTCATATGAACTGAGGCACCATGATGTAGCAAAAAGTCTACAATACGTTGGTGACCGCATGAACATGCAATATGCTTTTAAAAAATTTTTTTTATCTTTATATAAATAAACAGTATAGATAATATAATAATGTACATTTTAAAGTCAGTGAAACCTACTAAAGGGGTTCTTCCATCATAATCTACACAATTAAGTAATAAACCTTCATAACTTTCCCATAATAACAACATTCCATCAAGATCATCTGTTCCAGCAGCTGAACACAATAATATAGGATATAAAGTTTTTTCCATCAAAACCTTTTCCTGAACATTTATCGTTAATGCCAAATCTGATGTACTATTTTTTTTCAAATCAGAAGCTGCATCTAAATTTATATTATAATTTAATTTTAACAAATTAAGTATATTTATATATATGTATGTATGGAATAAACATGAGGATAATAATAACCCTTCTTAC